ATTTGGTAGCCGAATGAAGAAGTTTTATATGTTTGTATATTTTTTACAAAAATCTAGCAACAATCTTGAGGTCCATAATAATTAGTAATATTAATTTATGTATTTTGGTCTACAAATCTGTATTTTGGAATAGATTGTTTTCTGTAATAGAACTAACGTACTTAGGAGATGACCAAGATACCAGAATGTATACAAGTTTTGTATCCATCCACTGATGTTTTCTTTGAGTTATTGTGAAATAAATAATTATAATAAATGAATGTAAACAATTGTACTGTTATTAGTATTTATTTAATTTCGTGTGCCTTGAACAATAATTATTAATGTATAAATTCAAAACATTATTTTTATCTGTTGACTAAGTCATTGTTTCAAAATTTTCTGTAATTATCGCCTGTTTAGTAACAATTTTAGCAACAATTTTTAATAATATCTAATAACAGTACTTAACTGATTCATAAATAAACATCCGTAATAAACCGGAAATTATTTTTTTTTATCTTAAATTACAAACGCTTTGTGCGCACCGATCGAAGACGAACTAAATCTGAGTATTTAATATTTGAAGTGATTCGCGTATCTACGTACGTAATTTATAAAATTAATCCGCAGCTGTGCAGTCATGTAATATATACTAATTGCTGAAGGCCACCGTGTCACTTCTAATGAGGTACTCGAATAATATACTAACTCAGAATCAATTTTTTAATTAGGATTTATTTATGTGCTTGAAATTAATCATTCATGTTTTTCAACTTCTTTTTTCTAATCAGTCCTTTTATAAACACGTCGTTTCCTCGAATACGCCGTGTAATTCAATTTGCATATTATCATTGTTATTAAGTGAATTAATCGTGTTTTATGCTCATGCGGGATGTTATTGCCGAGCTTGAAGTCATAAAATTGTTAAATAAATTCACGGAAGCCCAAATTTATTTTGATTTTTTTCTTTTATTGTTTTCGGTCCGTTATAAAGAGAAAAATCTTCGTCTAATTGTTTACAATTATATATTTTATTATTATTATTAATGTACTTTCTATTAGTTTTTCATCTTTCAAAATATTGTTCACCATATATTTTATTATTTTTTATAGTTTTATGCAAAAAAGATGCACATAATATTCGATGACGCGTTTTTCTATAATTTAGGCATTTTTGCGATATGCAGAACATTTCTAGTTTACGATTTATCACTAGAATGCGATATATTCGTTGACGTTTCGTTGCGATTAAATCTAGTATATTGTAGATTTACACTTGAGCCATTGTTCAAGACATTCCACATATAAACTTTTTAATTACTGAAATGTGAAACAGTAAGGAGTAAAAATAATGTACTACGTTTACTCCATACCGTTGTTGTATACCGAGGAAAATATTTAATTGTGAGAAAAATCATTTATTACTATGGCCAATTAAACGATTTATATATCTTTGGCGAATTAAACATTCCTTTCTACGTATCTATTTGTTTGAATGAATTTTGATTCATCCTAAACGGTTAGTTCTAAATTTAGACAGCTAAAATGAAATAAAATATTTTTGCAACGTACAATTGAATATTATTTCCTGAAAAACATATTTAATTTATTATTAATTACCATTATTTAACTTAATATTGTACGTTTTTTACTCGCTATGTGGGAAACTCCCAACATCAATTATACCTGTAAGTGCATATGGTACATTAATAGTAAATTTAGATATTGCTTTGTGTTCTGTTATTTTTATTACATTTTATGAAACTTTGGTTAACTGTCAATCAAAATTAGTTTAAATACAAATTAATGTCTAAATAACGCGCTTAATTAAAGACAAAACTATGCTTTTAAATTAATTAATTAAATATGAATCGTGAATATAAAATATACAGCTCCAAGTCAGTAGTGATTATAAAGTACAATTTTAAATTAAACACAATAAACAAATTTTTGTGATCCAACGCCAGTCAATTGTGATTATAACTCGATTAACTAATCGGTCAATTACATTGTGGGTACAATTTCAGTGGCTTTCAAACCTCATTCGTATAATAAACCATTTTATACATAATAATGGGCAACCTCACACTATGCATGCACAATAATGGTTAATGCTGCTCTACTCCACATGCTTTCGCAGCTGCGCGTTAATTAGTAATATTTAATTTTAGTGTATTTTATTTCCTAGACATAAGTGCTCATTGTTTGAAGTAACGTGATTCTTTTCAGTCATTAATAGTTCTGTTTCTGCAGCAGTTAGAACTTATTTGAAACTATCAGAGGTATTTGACCAATTGATTCGTAACTTTATACTCGTTGAAAATACGTGACAACTTAATTGGCCGAGTATATCTGATAGTTTGAAAACTGTTTGAGACTGCTGCAGGGACAAACATATTATTACATGTTTCATGTCAAATATTTAATTTCTTTCTTTATAAAAATAAAAAAAATAAATACTTAATTTCTTTGTACAACTGTGGGATATTCATGAACATAATATTATCCATAAAATTATTTGTACGTATGTACATAATTAAATATTTTGCAAAACAAACAAATATATTGAAATATATTGAAAATGTGAAAATTATTATTGACCGTTATTGGGACTGCCAAATTAGCAATTAAGTCATGACAGAATTACCAATGTAACTGTAATTCTTAATTCTGAAGCTTGCAATTAAAATGTTATCGTTCTCCCATTTTAACACTACCTTAAGGTATTCTCTTGCAATATTATAAACAAAAAAGTTATCGCGTTGATTTATAAACTTGATTTTATAAGTGTTTTATGTTTATACCTACAACACTATACATATATAGAATTTCACTTACGGTCTTGCGGCTTTCGGCTTGATAATTAGCAAAACTTTTTTTTCTCTGTTTTTTATGTTGTCTACACAATACTGAAGATTTCTACCATTTCTTTTCTAGTCAAATTAGGTCATATGTATATTAAACTTAAATAATGTTCTCAATATAGTAATGAAAAAACACATTCATATAGCATATAGCTGTCATATCTTAATCATTAAACAGTGATGCAAAACAAAAAAAATGAACTCTTGTTCTTGTTCCTAATAACAATGACTGATCAGTTTGTACTAAAATTAACACGAAATTCAGAAATGGTAGGTATACTAATTAAGATCTGTACCTTTAATTATCTACTTTTTTAAAGTGCTCTTCATTAAAAAAATTTATTAATAGATTAGTAATTTAATAATTTATTTATATTCATACAGTACAATATTTTATAATTCACGTCCTATGAGAGCAATACACTAATTAAATATATGTAAATAATAAGCTGAACCATATACTCTTGTTAAAATCTCCGAAACTGGACCGTTTTTTGAGAAAAACGCAATTGTCCCAAAGTCAACAGTGTATGTCCCTTAATCTACAGGGTGTCTGGAAAAAATAAACCGATACTTCAATAATAGCTTCCTTGAATGATGTACAGGGTGATTCACTATATTTTGACCCCCCTTTAACTTTTTTATTTTAAGAGTTATAAAAAACTGTGAAATATAAAAGTTGCACGATTTTTTATGAATTTTTCGAAAATGATATTAGAAAAACAAATGAAGTCCAAACAAAATGGCCGCGGATGTTAACTTTGTTAAGTTAGATGGAACACCCTGTATATTTTTACGTATTTGGATAGAACGTTCCCTGTCGAGCATAGTCATGTAGGGTTTGTTGGGTCCCTATCTAACAATAAGCGAGATACTATTAAAACACGAAAAGAAGATTTTTTATTAAGAAAATAAGACATATTGTAATTGTTAGACCTCTTTCAGGCATTTCTGCCTTTTTTCCAATTACGTAAGTTTTTACAGATTTAGTTATAATATATTTTGATATATCGGATATTGATACGGTCCAAAATGCGTATGGGTAATGTAACGAAATCTCACTAATTAGGCTGTGACAGGTCTAATTACTGATGTATATTATGTGGTAGGTCGTGACAGTGACAGGTAGTAATGTCTTGACAACATTGTTATTGATTGACTGTTTGTATTATTATTTAATTAAAAAATGTTACACAGAAGCAGAAAATTATTTAGAATTAAAATAGAGTATGGAGAAGAACTTTGCTTTATTTTAATTCCTATAATATTTCAATTTTCTACTTCTGTGTAACCCATTTTAATTAAATAATAATACAAACTGTTAAACAATAACAATGTTGTCATGACATTACCTGTCACTGTCACGGCCTACCATATAACATTGTCCATTAGTAATTAGGCCTCTCACGGCCTAATTAGTGGGATTTAGTTAAAATACCTATACGCATTTTGGACCATATCAATGTCCGATATGTCAAAATATATTATAACTAAATCTGTAAATCCTTACGTAATTGGAACAAGGCAAAAATGCCTGAACGAGGTTTAACAATTACAAGATGTCTTATTTTCTTAATCAAAAACATTTTTTTCGTGTTTTAATAGTATCTTGCTTATTGTTAGAGATGGACCCAACAAACCCTACATGACTACCTATACTCGACAGGGAACGTTCTATCCAAATATGTAAAAATATACAGGGTGTGCCATTTAGCTTAACAAAGTTACCATCCGCGGCCATTTTGTTTGGACTTCATTTGTATTTCTACTATCATTTTCAAAAAATTCATAAAATCTCGTGCAACTTTTATATTTCACATTTTTTTATAACTCTTAAAACAAAAAAGTTAAGGGGGGTCAAAATATAGTGAATCACCCTGTACATATATAGATCAAGTTAGCTTGGAAAAAGTTTTATTTCTGTAAAAAGTTACATTGCTTATTGTAAAAAATATATTTACATTTGATTCTTGAAAATTATATTTGACTCTATATCTCAAAAACAAAAGACGATAATTCATATAAAATGGTTTTAAAATAAGGAAATATACTAATTAATATATCGTGGCTGGATTTCGATCACAAACGTTTTAATTATTGATCTAGTAACAAGTAAAGTAAAAAGCAGTTATATCACGTCAATACTCTTTACAGGTGACAAGTTTCGACTGGTTTTGGCCACGACCCTGCGTGAAGACGGTTATCCCGACAGCGGCGATTGGAATCCGCAGGGATTGGAAAGCGAAGGTTCCAGAGCCGACAGTTTCGAGTACGTGATGTCCGGAAAAGTCTACAGAATCGAAGGAGACGAAGCAGCGTTGGAACCTTCCAGTCGATTGTGAGTAGCCCCTTTAATAAATAAATTGGTAGTTTCTGGTAAGATTGCAATTTCTTTTTCGTATTAGATTTCTATCGCATCGGATAAATTTAAAATAGTGTCACATATGTACTTAAAAATGAAAAAGCTAGTTCATCAGATACAAGTTGTTTAATTTGTTAACTCCGTCTCATCTCAATTATAGGGAGTGTTTCTCGTTTAAAAGTACCTACATAAAATAAAAGTGAAATTTGTTTCTGATAGATTACGCCATCAAAAATATGGTTGCGCAATCTTAATTTAAAGAAAGCTTTTAAATTGTTAAGCTTTCAAAAAATAACTAAAAATGAAACAGAAATAAGAAAGTTAATGAAGGAAATTGTGGCAAATGTGAAACGGGTAAAATATGTATGTTTGATTGAATCAAGAAAACCTTAAGACGTCTTTTTTCTTCATAAAATGTTAGGTACATACATCACTTGGTATTATCCGTAATACATATGGAAGAACCTACAGGATATCTCGAAACTTGTAAATATAACAGATACAGGGTGATTTTTAAGTCATGGCCATAGATTATTTGAAATAAAAAGGCCTTAGTGAATCAAGAGTCTAAATCCACTCTTTTATAAAACAAAAAGTTTAAAGAAAGACCACATTTATTCAAGTATCACTCTACAAATAGTGATTTCGAAGTATTCTAGAAATGTTGATAAATTATTTTTATATTTCGAGAAAATGAATTTATTCTGCACTTCTGCCGCCAATCTGATCCCAACTTTAATAGAAAAAATTTTTTTTCGAAAATGCTAAGTAGGTACTTATTTTTGAGTTATTTTTAAATGAAAGTAAACTTATCACATAGATGAATAAAAAGTAAGTCACTCTAGAACTATTTGTTTTAAAAAAATGTAGGTATGTATAATTTTTTTCAAATATAATATACTCAAAATTTGAAAAAAATTATTGGCCTAGAAGTATTTACTTTTTATTTTTAGAAGAAGCTATACATTTTTTTTAAAACGAATTCTTTTCGAATTTTTCTAAATTTATTCAAGTGTCAAACAAATTAAAATTTAAAAAAAATACTAGGAAATTGCAAATTTTTTCAAATATGTGTATGGAAAGCATTTTTTTTTCTTAGAACTACCTAATAGCACTTAATGAAAACGAATTAGCTAGTTATCCAATTTCTAAAATAGTCATTGATGTTAAAATTTTGTGTCTCGTAATCTCCTCAATGATTAACACCGAGGTTAACACTTCTGAAAATGTATTCACTAAAATTTTGCTGATATAATAGGTACATTATAAATTCTATTAAACAGCCACACAAAAAAATATTCCAAACCCAAGAGAGCCACATATCATTTCCGAAGGAATTCGGAGAAAAGTAAAATTTTTGGGCGAAAACGCCCAAATATGGGTCAAAACATTTTTTTTCCTAATTTTTGTCCAAATATATCATTTTCGTAGTATTTTAAGGCGCTGGCTGATGCCATTAGTAAAAGTAACCCATGACTTCGATATTCTCAGAAAATCCACTACTATTAGGTGAAAACTGACCCAAATATGGATCAAAACATTTATTTTTCTATTTTTTGTCCAAATATCATTTTCGTAGTATTTCGAGACGCTGAAAAATTTACCCATGACCTCGATATTTCTCGGAAAATTCAATATTTGGGTGAAAACTGATCCAAATATGGGTCAAAACTAGGGTTGCCAGATCTCCGGGTTTGACCCGGAGTTTTCGGGTTTTGATAATACATCTTCGGGCTCCGGGTTTATGTCATTTCTCCGGGTTTGTTGAGGAAAAATCGTGATTTCTTCAAAAACATTTTATGCCTCCCAGATTTCCTGATTGCTTATTTTTAAACATCGATTTCTTCGCAAAAACATTGTCCCCCAGATTTCCTGATCGCATAACTTTTTTTAGTCATCAATTATACAAACGCCTTGTAGGAATAGTTAAATGTAACACAATATTTTAATGTCTCCGGGTCTGTCATGAAATAGATCTGGTAACCCTAGTCAAAACTGATTTTTTTTTCCTACATTTTGTCCAAATATATCATTTTGTTAGTATTTGGAGGCGCTGAACACGATACCATTAGTAAAATTTCGATATGCCATTAGTGATATATTATTTGGACAAAATTTAGGAAAAATCAGTTGTGACCCATATTTAGGCCAGTTTTCATCCAATTATTGGATTTTCTGAGAAATATAGAGGTCTTGGGTAAATTTTACTAATAGCATCGTACTCAGCGCCCTAAAACACTACGAAAATAATACACTTGGACAAAATTTAGGAAAAAATCAGTTTTGGCCCATATTTGGGCGTTTTCACCCAAAAATTTCACTTCTCTCTGAAATTTGCCGTGAATTTTGACAACATGATCGTGTTCAGCGCATTGAATTCCTTCGGAAATGATATGTGGCTCTCTTTGATTTGGACTTTTTTTATGTGGCTGTTATTTGTAAATGTTTATTCGTCACATTTTTTGTTTATTTGATCGAGCATATCTGTCACACTGAAAAGAAATAGAAATTTTAAATACGTAACCCCAAGAGGTAAACTTTATAAATTTATTTTTGCTTAACCACAAATATCCCACTGAGTTGTTTTACTATTACATTATAAACATTACAACATTTAAAGTCAATTTGATTAGAGCTTTGAAAACGAAAAGAGGAATTGCCAGAGTGTTAGCAGCTTGTCTTGTTACAGCGTAATCGTAAATATTTATCTAATATCTTGATGTGCGATACTTCTGGTTAGGCAAAATTAAATTTGTAAAATCAGCCCCTTGACTTATCCTTTCTCTGCGCGAAGGGTTGTTTATGTAAAATGCGATATATGATATTTTATAGCCCTCTGTCACGAGTGGCAGTGGCTTTAGATTAGACCCTTAGTTCATAAGGCTTTTTTATCTGACATGTTCCAAGGGTCAGGTCTCATGTGAAGTGACGTGGATTTAGAAAACGCCTTGTACAAACGCACTTAAAAAAAGTGGAAACAGTTTACTTCTCGTTTAATATGCGCTTCTCATCCATACGTATGCTTCATAAACTTATCTTTTGTTATATACACAACTGTGGGCGATTCTATTAATCATCTTGAAAAAACCCAGCTTAATAATTTCGGGCTAACAGCAGTTACGTCATATTAAAATCTAAAACCGTTTATTTAATACTAACATACATAATTACGTAAGATCTACGATGCAACTACAATAATCTTCATGAACAGTATCATGGTCTGTGTCATTATTGTCCAAGTAAATAATAATAAAGTAGCTATAATTGAAAAATTAGCACGTATTATTAAATACATCTGTATATGACTGAAATATTTACTTTAATTGAAACTCGGTTCTCCATAATAATCAATGATTTTTTTTTGTTTTATATCTATTGTCTTCAAAAATGTTTGGTACTAAAATCCAATAAGTAAAATAATCTATTTACCTAATTATATTCCTTATATTTATTTATATGTATTCACCTTTAATTACGACTACAGTTTTGTTTTTTTTTTATGATAAACGAGCAAATAAACGCGAAGAAAATTAAATAATGGGACATATTTATTAGTTATTTTAATTTCAACATTTATTGTCAAGCAGAATTGCAATTCAATGTACCTATAATTTAGTCTGTCTTTTTGATCTCTTAAAACAAAGTTGTTGATTTTTTTTCAAACAAGACAAAAATAAAGATATTAGAAATTAGACTTTATTCATTACATTATTGAAATATCCAGTATTTTCGAGAAAAACTATTTTAGTAATAAATTTAAGATTTAAGATAAAGGCAATAATTGTATAAATACATTCACAAAATACCCTAACTTGGTCTTGAAAAAATTTACAAGCAATTGTAGTTTTTTTTAAATTAGTCTGTGTACTTTAAAGTATTTTGATACGAAACTTGGTCGTAAGGGACAATATCTATTTATAGTATTGCAAAGTAGTTTTTTATTATTTTTTTTATGTTATTAAAAACAAACTTAAAAATTATTGGAATATTCTTCAATGAAACCAGAAATAATATGTCAGTCATTTATTACTATTTGTATGCGACACTTGAATTTTACTTTACTGTACGTATACAGGGTATTTAAAGTTCTATATTTTAAGGGGAGCTTTCTTGAAAGTTCCCTTAAAAAGTTACAGCTCTTCAGAGTTTTTATTTGTTGAAATTTATGAACTCCGTTGCTCATTAAGATATTTCAGTGAAACTTGAGACAGAGGGTTTTTGGAGTAGGCAGATATGACATATAAACTAACTTTTTGCCTAAGACTAGAGGTTAGTAAGATCGTAATCTTACATTACATTTGTTGAGGTACAGATTTTGAATAAAAAATATTTTTTAGAAGGTTGTTTTATTTACTGTAAAAAGTTATACTTGATCATAAAGATATATAAAAAAAAATATTTCAATTTTGTCCTTCAATAGAGCCGTTTTCTGTATTCCTTTTGTTTTTTTTATTATATTAACACGTGTTTCGTATTTGTTTTTTTTTTGTTATTGGTCAATTTCTACAAAAAAAGTGTAGTAATTGNGGGGAGCTTTCTTGAAAGTTCCCTTAAAAAGTTACAGCTCTTCAGAGTTTTTATTTGTTGAAATTTATGAACTCCGTTGCTCATTAAGATATTTCAGTGAAACTTGAGACAGAGGGTTTTTGGAGTAGGCAGATATGACATATAAACTAACTTTTTGCCTAAGACTAGAGGTTAGTAAGATCGTAATCTTACATTACATTTGTTGAGGTACAGATTTTGAATAAAAAATATTTTTTAGAAGGTTGTTTTATTTACTGTAAAAAGTTATACTTGATCATAAAGATATATAAAAAAAAATATTTCAATTTTGTCCTTCAATAGAGCCGTTTTCTGTATTCCTTTTGTTTTTTTTATTATATTAACACGTGTTTCGTATTTGTTTTTTTTTTGTTATTGGTCAATTTCTACAAAAAAAGTGTAGTAATTGTGAAGGCAAATTCACCATTGAT